GTGTGTGTGTGTGTGTGTGTTCGTTTGTTTGTATGTATGTGTTTGTAGATGTGTATTTATTCAAAGTGACAGAACCCCTCCTCAAAACAAAGCAGTCTTATTAAAATCGTGGTCACGCCGCATTCACAATTCCACATCTCAAAATGAATTGACCGGCCTGCATAAAATGTACATCTTAACCCCTTTCCACAAACGGGGTCGAGCCAGGTCTTGGGGATGGCCAAGGTCACATAAAAATATATTCTTAAAGTTCGGAGGCCTTTGAACTTAAGCATAAATCGTATCTGAAATCAACTGTGTTGAATTATGAATTTTTGTGAGGGGGTTTATTGCCGCTGCTGTTGTTATTGTTGTTGTTGTTGTTGTTGTTGTTGTTGTTGTTGTTGTTGTTGTTATAGTCGTTGTTCTTGATGTTGTTGCTGTTGTTGTTGTTGTTGTTACTTCTGCTTCTATTTTTGCACTTATCGTTGTTCTTGTAATTACTGACCCTGTAGTTGTTGTCATCGTTGTTTTCGTTGTTGTTGTTGTTGTTGTTTTTGTTGTGGTTACTTTTTGCTATCGTTGTTGTCATAATTGTTGTCGTTTTCGCTGCCATTATTGCAGGTTATATATTACATGAATTAGAGCATTATTATTATTATTATTATTATTATTATTATTATCACAATTATTATTATTACTATTATTTTCATCAAATCCTTATTACATTATTATTGCTAGACATTTAAGAATATAACAACAACAACAAAAACACAACAACCAAACAAGCAAACAAATAACTTGACCCCTTCTGAAGGGCGAATTTCGAACTTATTGACCCTACTGGGAGTGTCCGCGGATAAAAATAATAATAATATAATTATAACTCATAGCCTGAAGGGTGAAGAAGGGACCGTCTTGCCCAAGTAAATTGAGGCCCGGACGTCTACGTCAAAACATGAAAACAAATTCCTAAACGGGAGACTCTTTAGCAATCAAATCAAAGGGTATTTATTCCTTCACCCCTGGCCCATCTATAATGACACACCCCCTTGTGGGTTGGGTTTTTTTCCATCATAACGCCACTATGTAAGACATCCACCTGTCTAAGCTGGACACTGTTTTCCTCAACATTGGGTGGTCGTCTTGTCTTAGACAATGCCGGTGGGTGGTTGGAGGGTGCTCTGGTGTGGTTTGCTCCTTCTTTCCTATCAAACATCGTATCGTCCTTATCTCCCCTCCTTCTTTTTTATGTTTGTTACTCTCTTGTAACACCTCTAATCTTCTGCACGTATATGACCTTGTGTTGCTAGTGCCGTAAAGCTCTTACTAAAACTATTTTTTTAAACAAAAAACCCCCCACTCAATACCATGGTTCACAGTTAAATACAGAGTAGCAAAGCTAGGGTTTGCCATTACAGGCCATGGGAATTTGAATAAAGCCCCTGAGGCATCGGGAACGGCCCAAGAATTTAAAGAAGTCTGTAATTATTGACGTGGGAGAGACCCAGGAAAATAACGAAAATTGTTTTCCAAACTGTGAATGCTTGTCCTGACAAGGTCAGTAAGTTCAATTTTTATCGGGCACTTTGCAGTCATCATTTTGGCTTTCCTATCGTCCTTATCTCCTATCCTTCTATTTTGTCTTAGTTACTCTGTTGTAACACCTCTAATCTTCGGCAATTGTATGACCTTATTGTGCTGCAAGTGCCGTAAAACACTTACTAAAACAAAACCAACAAAATAATTCCTACCCAGCAAAAATACAAATCGAACTCACAACTTTGACTAAAAACGGTATAGGTTTAATGTCCCTATCTATAGCACAACTGTGACTGAAGTAGTCTCTTTAAGAAAACAGAACAGTAAAACTGTATGGATTTTGTTTGTGTCTCTTCCC